AAATGAGACAGTGTAAAGTATCCAGTAGTAGGAGTCTCATTCAGAATCAATCCTGGTGGCCTGTGTTTCTCATGCAGGCTTCAGTTATCACCCAGGGATTCTTTAAAAAAATACAGAATTGATTCCATCACAGTAGGAGGTCTGGGCTCTGATTCTTAGGCACCCAGATTCAGGTAACAGCCACTGATTACCATGGGAGTTTCTATTATCCTGATGGGGAGAACTGAGTCCTAAAAACTTTATTTTCACACTGGTGCATCCTTTGTAATTGTATACATGTAGATAGTGAGATAAGTAGGCTTGAAAACTGATTTTTAAGAGGTTTAAATTCTTTTCTTTCTTTTTTAATCACCTGTTTCTTGAAAACCTCTAGGTCCGACATCTGTCCTCAACATGCAAGAAGTTTTCCAAAAAAAAAAATTTTCCCCCATGGGAAAATACTATAAAACAGATTGTTATTGAGGATCTTCTTTAGTATATTTGAATGTGAAGTCTCATGAGGCACCACCTGGCCCAGTTAAGCATGGTTTACATACACAATAGTGTTGCAGTGGGAGGTCTACCTAAGAAACAAGTGCAGGATTCTAACCACAGAAGATGTCTTGGGGCACTGAGCACAGCCAGTGTGTTGCACCAAAAATGATAGATCTGCCATTTTAATTTGCCCTTGGCATGCATTTGATAAAATCTTGCTGTATTCTGTTTTTAATAGGAGAGAGAAACTCTACAGAAACAGTTGGATGAGGCAAATCGAGAAGCACAAAAGTATCGCCAGCAGCTTCTAAAAAAAGAGCAAGAAGCAGAGGCCTACCGGCAGAAATTAGAGGCAATGACCCGCCTCCAGACTAATAAAGAAGCTGTTTGAGTATCAAAATGGACACACTGCAAAGTCTGTTACTTTCAGTCAAGAAAACTGCAGTACAATCTTGAACTGTACTCTGGATAGGTGCAGAAATGAGATTACCTGATAAAGAAGATGCTACACATTGATAACTGGACTTAAGCCATGAGCTCTGCTGATTTGTAACATAAAAACTCTGAATTTAGAAATTGTGAAAAGTATTTAAAATTAAATACTGTAAATAGTTGTTTTTTTTACAGTTCCAAAATGAGTTGATAAATCTTTTTGAAGGGATCCAGAAACACAAGAAGCCAATGTTTTTGTGAAATTTTTGATTTTAGTATGAATCTAATTTCTGAAAAACAGAACAGTTTTAAGGGTGATATTGCTGATTTAGAATGAAAACTTGAAAATGAATTATGTGACAAAATGAATAGTTATTTCTATAAGGTAACAACATAAACCTCTATCTGAATAAGACATTTCCTGATGGAAATCTTTGTACAGCTTTAAGTAGTTGTCTCAGTTTATCTGAAAACTCCTTTTTTTTAGAAAGTGAAATTTTTATATTTAATTTCAGATATATCCGAGTAGATTTACATGTATATGAAGCTAATATTTTTTAAACTTTTCAGTTTGTACATATTCTGCATGTTTTTATAATTTCTATCCATATATCCTGCATAGGTATTTTTCAGCAAACAGAAGAAAAATAATGAGAAACATGTTTAGCCCTAGGGGTCATTTGAAGTAAGCAAGCTAGCAGCCAGTTTTATTGTGAATGATATATTTCTTGAAAGAATGTATTTTGTGAAAATAAATCTTAATTTACTCAATACAGACCATTTAACTTTCTGATAGTGGAAGCGTTGACACTTCATTTCTGTGAATCTCATATCTTTCATGAGCAAACTTTTAAAGTACAGAAATATGAAAGAATGTTTCCACTAGACAACAAATAGCAGCTTCTTTTTTTTTTTAAATATTCTTTTCTGTTTCCGTGGTAAACTTGCTATTACCTCAGTGATATATTTTACATACAAACTTTTTCATTTAAATTATGCAATCGGATGAGAAAGTTTTGTGTTGTAGTGATGCTTTTCTTACCTGGCATCATTGCTCTTCACTGTGATACTGTGTTTGTGTCTGCTGGTGCAGTGATTTCTTCTATTATACTCTGCATTTATATATTGCTTTTTCACTTTCAAAACACTGTAAAATTGTTGCAGAATTTATCCTCACTGTATGCCTGAGGCAGGTAAGTAAGTGTTCTTGTCCCGATTTTACAGCCATCTTAAGTGGGACTCTCAGAGAGATTTTTAAGTGACTTGCCCAGGGCCACCTGAATCAGTGGCAGACTCAAGAATTGAACTTGGGGCTTCTGGCTCCTAGTTCTGTGTTTAGACTCTGCTGCCTTAAGACTGTTCAGTGCTGTTATGACATTAGCTTTTGAACTAATGTGCAGATCTCTTTTTCCTTTTTTTTGTAAAGTATAACTTGTCTTTTATTTGTGCTTTGCTTTTGTCTTTCCACGTTTCACAGCTTTTATTAAATTGTTTATTGAAACATAAAATGTCTAGTTTACCTATACTGTATTCAAATGAATTGCCCTTAAAACTGTACTCTGGACTACTTTTTCTATTTTACAATTAAATATCTTTTCCACATATACAGTGTAGACTTGATTCTATTTGAATTGTTTTGTATATGCATTAGGGCTGAATTTTTATCATGATTTTGAAAAAAATGTGCCAGAAATGTTGTGGGGGTGGGGTAGCTTGGGGGCAGAGGATGGGGGCAGTGAGAGAGAAATTGGGAGGAGAATTGAATTTGTGAAATGCAAATCCTTCATGAGAAAAATCTCTATCCTGTATTCTACAAGGACATTAATAGAGCAGAAACATCTGTAAGAAAATCTAACTGCTCTTTAGAAGCATTTAAAATATAGCGTATCTAATGCAAATAATTTTTACATAGATTTCACAAAGAAAAAGTTCCTCATTTTCTGACAAAATCATTGTGCAATATTTCTGCAGTCTTTGGGCCTGCACGTAGATCCAGCCCTTTCAGTGAACTGAGCTCAGCTACCAGTATGCAGATCTCTGGGGATTGGTGCTATAGAAAGTAAGCGTTTGTTAACAGCACTTATAATATCAGTGCTATGCCTGTGTAAACTAACAGAAGAGTTCTGCTCTGTTTTTGTTCTGTCACTGTGTTGCATCATTAGTGGTGCATTGGTGTGCTGTTTTTGGTAAGAGTTAATCTTTAAGAAAGGGCGCAAAAGACTAACTTGATCAAGCTCTATTCGTTTATTGCTTCAGGCTCTAATCAAGCAACCAGAGCAGTTCAGAAGGAGTGATGTAGCAACGGTCGTACTTGTAGAGCAAAGCAAATTCATTGTGGGTTTTCTATAAACCAATATGTATACTTTACCTGTTGACAATATACATTTCAGCAGAATTTAGCCAGTTCCCTCTTGCTCATCTCGTCAGCAGAAAGATGGAACTTTCTTACCTGCAGGGAAGTGATACAGAGTCTTAATCGACAAATTCAAGTACATTTTGCAATTGACACATTTTGCGAGTATAGGTTATATGAGTGTCTCCTCATTCTGATAGCCATCTTAAGTTTGCCATTTAAAAGCATTTCAATCCTTTTAAAATATTTTCTTTTGCAATTTATTATTTTACTTGTCCACTGAAATGAATTGTGTTATGCTGTTGACCTTAGTAAAATTATTCCCAATTTACAGGCAGATAAGGGGAAAAAAATTAAAGGTATGAGCAAGTGAACAGCTTACCATGAGGTAAGTGAGGACATGTGCTTATACTCTTCCACGGTTACTGCATATAGTCATGCCTGCAGTAAATGAAAAGTAATGCACAGTACTTTAGGCCTTAGTGAAAGAGGAGTAAACCTTTCCGGATTAGATTAGATTACTGTGGGGGAAGAGTGGCAAACACCACAGAACTTCTGATAAATTCTGAAAAAATTTCTTCATTGTAGTTTGTTCCTGTGCCTATGTTCAAAGGCCTCATTAGCTACAGCCTTGCATTATTTTTCTGGTTGTCTTTAATAGGAGGTTACACAGGTATAAATGAAGGCAGAATCTTTGTTCTTGCAGAAAATGCGAGAGAGAGAAAAGGGGGTATAGGTTGTAGCTGTTATTTTTTCATAGACCACCTCAAATAGTTGGAAAAACTATTCTTTGTAAGCTTTCGGGTATAAATCCCCTTCTTCAGGCTGAGGGAAGTGTCTGCAGTTGGTGTGTGTGCTGGTCCTGGATGGCAGGAACAGAAAGCCAGGTTGGAATGAATGTAAACTGTTCATTCCATGCAGGAAGAGCACACACCAACTGCAGGTGCTTTCTCAGCCTGACAAAGGGTCTTTATACCCAAAAGCTTGCAAAGCAGAATTTTTCCAACCATTTGAGTTGGTCTAATAACATATATCAGGTTTACCCAAAGAACCTTGTCTGCCTGAGAGAAAAAAATGTGGTTTAATGTTCAGATCCAGGAGTGAGGTTGTTGGGTAGACGCTTAGAAAAGAAAATTTGTTTTTGCTCTGAATTTGGTGAATATAATCTGAGAGCCATTGAGAAATTGCTATGTTGCTGGTTATACAAGAAATATTTCCTAGACTTTACTTGGTGTGTAAAAGATAGATATCTTGTGTGATTCTGTGTAGTGGTATACGCTATTTCAAATCCAAAATTGAGTTGTACATGTGACGTTCTGGAATTTCTTTAGAATTTGTAGGTGTTAACAGTTCTAGTAAAAAAATATAGGAACCAAGTATTCTAGTAAAAAGTTACTTACTGGTTAGGAATTGCTCTGAGTTGTTTCATGTTCAAAGCAATGTTTATGTTCTTATATCTTGTAAACATCCACAGAGTTGAATTCATGAAAATGATTTGAAATGGTGATTTAAAAAAAATCAGCTATAGCTTCTGAAGTGATCATGGAAACGTTTATGTCCATCTGGAGGATTTCCCAAGGCTTTGGCAACACAGCCCTATTTAGCAAACCACCAAAAAAGAATAGCTTTTCTATTCATACTGCTTCCTGTGAGCAAACATTCTGTCCCCCTTGGTTCGTAATGAAATCAATCTGAGTGCCGTGTAATGATAACAGAGCACTCTTGTTTACATCCAGTAATATTTGCCCTTCATGTATTTCATTATCATCTATCTAACTTCTTCCAGTCCTGAACAAGACCTCCTATTTGTTCTCTCCTATGATGAATAAAAAAGCCTTGGCTCACAGGGTGTCACTCTGAAGCAAGAGACGTAAGATAAATGTCATGTGAAATATCTATTACATGTAGCTTAGGTCTGAAAACATTCTGGAGTAAAATGCTGCACCTTATTTGTTGTTCCAAATTGAAATCATAAATGTAATCAGTGACCAGCTTTATTTTAATAAAGTGCTTTCTAATTAAAGTAATGTATTGGCTGCTTGTAAGAGGAGATGGAGTCAGAGAAGAATTTATACACTGCTTTTTGCACAGCTTTGAAAACTTTAAAAATATTTTCCTGGAAAGATTTTATATGAATGCAGATTTGAATAGGTTCATATTACAAATACAATAATAACATTCTCCCTTGAAAATGTATTGTTCATTTATTCCCATTTCATGTAAGTGAATTTACTGCTGTTTATGTTATAGTTTTGTCCTTAAGCTGCAGTCAGGGATCAAGAACTTCTGTTGGGCAGAGTACAAACAGATACCTCTTTATCATTACCCTACAATGGCAAATAGCAGAATAAAGAATAAAACCCTTGGAAAGAATAAATCAAGAATAAAAGCTTTAGAAATGTGAACATGTTTGGGCTCGGTTGCATAGTCAACTTAGCCTCTTTCTTTCCTTGTATCATAGCAAGAGAACAGCTATGGAGATGGATGTACTGACTATAATGCCGCAGGTCTTACCATTCAAAGAGAGAGAGATCTAGTTTTATGTTCATCTGCCCAGTTCATTGGCAGGAGGTCATAGAATTTGAAGATACCTCAGCAATACCTCATGAAAAAGTGTGTAGGAGGAGGAGAGGGCAGGAGCCAAGAGGGGAGTGAGGCTGGGTATGGTCCATGCAGTTTCCCTTTTCCCTATTATGGCTTCTCTCTAGATATGCCTCACCTAAATATCAGGTCAGAATTATATTAGGGGCCATTCCTGTAAGATAGTTTTGGGGGATCAGCAAATTAAAGTTCTTGCACAGAACCAGGTGAGCCATCAGGTCGGGAGAAAGGGAGTGTGGCAGGAAGCAATGCAGACTCACAGGGCTTCCACCAAGATGGGGAAATGCTCTTTTCTTGCAGCACGTGCCCAGGGTCTGCAGACTTAGTAGATAAACCTCCAAACACCTTAGGGAACAATTTGAAATAAATTCTGTGGGAGAAACTTGAATGTGTTTTCTGTCACCTACTTTGAGTGCAGGGAGTAAACCCCGCTATAAAACGCAGGTCTATCCTCAGATCCTGATTAATATACATGAGAGTGCTTCATTGCCCAAAATGTGAGGCTGGTGAGAACATGGAGAAATAAGATTCTCATCGTATCATATGGCATTCTAGCTTCGCTTTTGTTCTGTTGGTGAAAGTTTTTTCCATGAGCTAACAGCAACTGTATATGTGTATGGCATAATTTTGTATACTGCTCTCAATTCATTGGTTCTGACCGCCGGTGAATTTTTTTTCCTTCCCTTATATCAATAGCGTGATTGTATCATTCTTTATCAGAGCATCTTCATCATATCTCCAAAGTCCTATTCCGTCTCAAGTATCTTATCAGAACAGAATCGGAGAGCTTTCTTATGTGGCAGGGTTATGGGGAAAGTAGCTTGAACTGTTTCTTTATTCCAGCAAACGTTTGTACTCCATTATAGCGCATCACTTACATAAACCTGAAATACAAGCTGCTTAGAAACCCAGCAGCCTCCTTCTTTCTCAACTTTCACTATCCTACTATTCCCATAAGTTTTTAACAAGTTTCTAACTCCATTCTCCAGGACTAGACAGTAACACAGTGGATCTGCAAGCCTCCAGAAAGAGAAGACACTTGGCAGTTGATGTTAAGATATGATACGTTCATGCCAAACCCAGAACAGGGTACGTTTTTAGTTAATGAAGTGGAATTCCAAGGGAAGTTGTGGTTCAACTGTGGCTCCATCTTGAGAACCAAATTAGGATGGAGGTATAGTTGGAGAAATCCTGGTTACACAAGGTTGAGCAACAGTGATCAAGTATGCTGCATATGAGAGGGCGCGAACAGAAGCGGACCGTTTACTTGGCTCAGCTCTTTAAAGGCCCTTTGGTGCATGGGGCTGGCACTGATTTTTAATGCAAGCCAGTCAACCTAGCTTGTCCCGTTTGGACTAAAATAGTAACTGTTGGCTGCTAGTGGCTGCATCTACACAAGACGCTGACTGCGCAGTCATTACTGTACAGTCATTTAGTACTTGTTCATACAGTTCTCTGTACAGTACTTGTACAGTTTATACAAGTACTAAATGACTGCAGTAACCCAAGTTACAGCATAGTAGAGCTGATGAACAGTTTTTGTGATGCTGACCGTGTAGTCATGGGTGCTGCCATGCAATGCTACTCCACAATAGCCTTGGGCTACTACGCAGTCAACATCTCATGTAAATGTGGCCACTAAGTAGCAGGCCTTTCTCCTTCCTGTGGACTGTGAAACCTAACTACAAGCACTAAAGCAGAGTATTATAATCGGATCATTTAGATTACTATTTGCTAGAATGATTTTTGGTTCCTACTTACCTGAGCTGTATTCCCATGATTACTGTAGGAACAAATCATCTAGAAGACATTGTCTGTGACATCAAAGAGGCAGGAGGAAAAGCACATAGAGCTCACAGGGGCATTGAGTGGGGAGGAGTTAGATAAACTGTCCCCAGTGACCTGCCTATGTGAACTCCTCTGTGACGCGTGTCTCTGGCTGCTAAAGAGCAGTATAAAAACTGAGGGATGAACAGTCAGCAGCTAAGAGAGGACAGTGCGATTTGCAGACCACTGAACAGGTGATTTGGGGAGGAATCGCCATGGAGCCTGGGGAGTACAAACAGAGAGGTGAGTGAGGAAGAAGCTGCTATGGCAGGGCTCTGGGGGGGGTCTGTGTCGGGGGTGGCACGTGTGTACTGAGGGGAGGACTGCAGGGCTGGCAGTGCCACCCGGCTCTCGGAGGATTCTGCACCCTGCAGTGAACCTGGCTGGCCATATGCAAGCAGGCACACTGCACACAGGCGAAGGGGGAAGTAATGGAAAGAGTGGTAGCTTGTGGAGTACCCCCAAGGAGGAGCTTCTGAGGATGGCTGTAATGTCAGGCAGTTATTTGCTTTCTTTGTTGTTAATAACAAAACCCTAAGAGATGGTTCAAAGCTCTGCCTTTCTAGATTAACCTTATTAGGGGCTTGTCATGAGCTATGACCCAGGGTACATGTACCCTGGGTCATATGCTGTCATGATTGACACTCTGGCTAGGTACTTGCATTCAAAAAGCCTGAGGTGGAATCCATCTAAGTTGCATGGTTTTCGGTAGGCAGTGTAATCTAGATCGGTAGTGAACAGAATACGCATTCGTCCTTTGGTGCGGGGTACAAATCTTAGACTGGATTCCACCATTTTTGAAGCAGTCTGTGTGCTGAACTTCTGTTACGGGTATAGACCAGTTTCCGATCATTTATACTGGTAAAAGTGTAACATCTGTATCTGGCCTTTCTGAAACTCCATTTTTGTCAGCATGGAGGCCGTGTGGTGCATCAGCTCGACGTTCAGTTCCATTAATATCCTTAATGTAGTCTAAATTTTAGACTAATTTTAGACTTTTCGACTCTTAAAAATTACACGTGTTGTCTGAAGCAAGCAGTGGAGAGTGTCCAACTGGAGAAGGAGCCCAGAGACACTCAGTTGCTTCAGGAAAAATAAGAGGGGTTGTGGTGCCTGACTAGTACAGAGGGGAAGAATAAGGGAAGCTGTGAGGACTTAGGGGAAGAGCGTTCTCTTTTTTTTTTTTTTTCCTCTCTAAAACCTGATTTCAGTCGATTTCCATTTCAGCTATGAACAGCTCTCACACTGTGTGAAAAGACACTTTCAAAGTATGTGATAATGATGATATCTTAAGTAGCACTTTCATCCACAGTCTTGAAGCTCTTTACAAAGGTGGTATAAGGGCTATGAGCCCCTTTGCAGGCAGGGAACCTGAGATGCAAAGACTTGAAGTGACTCGCCTGAGATCACAGAGGGAGCCAGTGGATAAACCCCATATCTCATGACTCTGGCTAGCACAATTTTTTCCCAGAAACAGGATAATAATAATAAAGCCTTTGAGAAGACTATCTGAAAGTCATGGTGTATGTGGTGTGTGTTTCTAGGAACACAGGAGTAGCAAGGCGTTTGCAGACAATATAAGGCTGTTCCAAGATATAGTGAACTGACACCACTAGTTTGCAATATGACGGTGTTTTATTATATGGGCAAGGAAACAAGTTTATTGACAGGTAAATGCTGAGGCATAAGGGTGTCATAAGGTCACACATTTCAAAGAAACTTTCAAGGGCCCAGTTCAAATCAGTCACTGAGCAGAAGTTAATCCCTAATGAAAATTTACCAATCTGAACTGGAAACGCCTTCTTACTTTAAAATGGTCACTGTGAAGAGATTGCCAAATATAATTGTTTCCAGGGCAGATTTCACTGTACCTAGTAAACTCCTCATTTAAGCTTTTGACATCAGCAAAGTTTCTTTGCCTGCCTGACCTACTCAAATGGGGGGGATTTGAGATTGGAGACCTTAATATGCTGCAAATACTCCAAAGCACTTTAGCCTTGGTGTTCCTTAAAACTGACAGCTCTGGCATGGTATTTGTTATTGCTGTGTCGCTCATGGGAGGCATGTGATATACAATTTTTAAAAAATCCAAACGCTTAGAAGGTGCAGGTAGTTGACTTAATTCTGTCTAGCCTAGTAAATTAAATCCTTGGTGAACTTCCGGGGTGAGCAGCACGTGTATCAGCGCTGAGCCTAACAAATGTGGATAGAAAAATGCTTTGTGTGTATATGAGAACTGCCATGTGCTGCTGTTCCTCTGGTCTAACCTTAAAGTACAAAATGTGCATCTTCCAGGGAAAGAAATGGTGGATTACATTTGCCAATACCTGACCAATGTGAGAGAGAGACGGGTGATTCCTGATGTGCAGCCTGGCTATATGAGAGTTCAGTTGCCAGACAGTGCACCCATGGAGTCAGACAGCTGGGACGACATCTTCAGAGACATTGAGAAGATTATTATGCCTGGGGTAAGAACTGGAGTAGGATCATGCTGGGGAAGGATTATCATCACTATGTAATTTGAACACCTGTATTGGGGAATGAGCGGACCCCGGGGGAACTGCATTAAACAAGTAAAGTATGTTAAAACTGTAAAGTAAAACTGAGACATTTCAATAAGGAAGATCCATGCCATTACTATTGCATTTCAAATGACAGGCATAATTTCAGGAACCAGAATAAATTCTTACTCTCTAAAAGTATTATATTTGATAAATGATCATCATGTTTTCTCTTTGTGCAGCAGTTTTTATTGAGGAGGTGATTGCACTTTACTAGCATTAGTGAAAGAAGCCTCAGTATCCTGCCATGGCAAGCAGCATTATCCCCACTTTGCAAGTAGGAAAAGTGAAGCCCTGAGTGAAGCCTTGTCCAAGGTTGCACACAAATAAGACTCGTTCACCTGTGCTAAATCATAAGAGCAGTCTTTTACACTAAATATGTGTGTAGTATTATGCTAAGGCAAAATATGCAGGCTAGTTAAATATTTTTTTATAGAGAAGTCCTGTAAAAGGTACCTCCAAAATTTATTTTATGGATATTTCTACTTTAGCTGTTCTGTACTTTGAGGAAGCATTTAATTTTAGCTATTTAAAATTACTGACCAGCACTCCAACCTCTCGTTTTCCAAGGGTGCAAAAGGTGCCTCACTAAAATGATTAATATTAATTGCAGACTGTTCTCTGTGATTAATAAAGTTGTTATTTCAACAATGGTGAAATGAACAACAGTCACCTTGTTTCAGCAACCCGGCTCAGTTAAATCTCCTTAAAGCAAGGGGACACTGTCAAACGTCCATTATTTCCTGTTTGAAAATGTGGGGATGTGTTTAATTTAGATAAATGTTGCTTTCTTAGATTGGAATTTATCTAATAACAGCACATTACTATCTCTGGACAATGCTTCTCTGCTGCTGATGTTATCTTTGGAACTGGTAGTTGCCAGATCTATAATCTGTGCAGGTTTCTCTTGTACTCTGTTAATTTCCACAGCGGGTTCAGAGTTCTGTGACATTTCTAGATGTTAATTTATCTGTATCTTCTGCTCTAGGTTGTCCACTGGCAGAGTCCACATATGCATGCCTATTTTCCAGCTCTTAACTCCTGGCCTTCCCTGTTGGGAGATATGCTGGCTGATGCTATTAACTGCTTGGGATTCACATGGGTATATATTACATCTAATAATTATTTGGTCTTTATTATGAATCAGGTTAGGCTAGATGGGGGTCAGACCACTTCAAGTTGTTTGCAGAATTAAAAGGTAAAACTGTATTTTGTGTGAAGAAATCTGAAATGTTTTTCGGTGTCATTATTTTAATTTTTGGCACATAGGGTAAGATTTCTGTAGGCATAAAAGGCCTTTAAGAAGGAATGTGGTTTTCTTGGCTCGGCAGCCTCTGCCAACAGACTCTAAATTACCAGGCACTGTTGTTATTTTAAACAAGGTCCATAAGCAATAAAGCCTCTACCACCCATGATTCAGCTGCTGACAAGTCTCTGATCTTGTGGTTGTTATGGAGGCCTGGCTGGATCACACCTCAGGTCCAGTGTGAGCTTAGCTTGTCCCAGCTGGGCCCTTAGTTCTCCATCAGGCTATGTAGACCCATCAAAGGAACAAAAGGGGGGGTGTTGTTTTTTCTAAATCTGGCTGTATGCGATCTCCTGCCTAGGAGTCTTTGAGCATGTGGCAGTCTCTCTGCTATATCAGCTACTTCACTATGATGCTTCAGATCTCTTGGACATCCTGAAGCCCCTGGGTTTTTTGGGTAGTGGTGATGCCCATGCCTTTAGCCATAGGACACCATTTTACGTCCATTTGAAAAGCAGTGCATTTCTACTGTAAACTCTCTTAGTGCACAGACATAGTTCACATCCCTCCTTATGATCTAGAATTGTGCTATATTTTAATGAAAATAGATTTCCATGTTGATTAAGCAATTGCTGATCAGCTATTAACGTCCTTCTTATTGCTTCTGTTCTTCAATGATAGAGACTAAAGATGACGAGTGTTGCATGATGATAATGATGATGATAATGGAGTTTATCATGCACAGCAATCCATACAACTCTAGGTTTAAGTGGATTCATTATATATTGTCTCTTGGCTACTGGGCAGTCCAATGGATAAATTAGTCTCAGCAAACCCTGAGGTGATGTTTGTAAGGCAGAAAAAGTATTCTGAGGACACTGGTGGAGTCTGTGCGCTCCTGTTGTTCAAGGAGCACAACTGCCACTGGTAAGAACGGTGTGGGGTTTGGAGGTCTCCCTTAATGGCTCTCTCAGCATGGATGCCCATGCTGCAAAAACAAACAAAAGTTGTATGATTTGTATTACAGTAGTGACTATAGTGCCATGTCTTGTACATATATCTAACCAGACTGAAGGAGTTTGCTATCTAAATAGGCAAGACAGTAAAGGGTGGGAGAAAAGGAACATGGCTCCCTCTATTTTACAGAGGATGAATTTGCCCAAAGTCCCAGAAGAGGCCTGTGGCAAAGGCTTGCAACTGAGTCCCAGAACAGTGCTTCAACCATAGACCACGTTTTCTCTGTCTACCCTCAGTTAGCATCCATGAAATAGCCTCCTTCCGCTTCTTTCTCAGCACAGCCATCCATGCCCTTGTCACTTCCTGCCTAGACATCCTCTGGGACAGCTGAAGAACTGTCACATTGGCAAGGAAGGAAAATGTAATGTGGGGTTTGTGGCTGGAGGGTCAAACTCTCAAATGCCATTTGGATGAATTAAAGGATGAGTTAAGATGCATCAGCTTTTCTCTTTTTCCATTTCTAGGCCTCCAGCCCAGCCTGTACAGAACTGGAAATGAATGTCATGGACTGGCTGGCTAAACTGCTGGGTCTCCCAGAAACATTCCTGCACCATCACCCAGACAGCAGGGGAGGCGGAGTACTCCAGGTAGGAGGGCTCAGGAGGGTGTTCGGCTGAATTGTTTTGCAGCCACTCAGAACTGCTTTTTCTCTGCTCAAGCAGAACTCCCTTTGTAGTCAGAGATGGGGAAGGTTTTACCTGTGGCAAAGTCTCCAGGCTGTGGTCTCTGTGGCATATATGACATTTCTTTATGGAATTGTTAATCCCCAAGCTGGATAATATAAGAAAATAAAGGATAGTTAAAATGCATTGTTTTCTACTTCTGGCCCACCAAGATTACCAACATGCTGAAGTGATTAATGATGCCACACGGCATATGATACAACCGGTGGTGGGAAGAAAATTGGGGATGGAAGTGACATGCTTCAGCGACAACAGCAAATGCACACCAAAGTAGCAATCTAGAAGGAAAGCCTGTCTGCGTTGTCCTGCCTTGATTAACCTGCTGTTTCTTGGCAGAGTACTGTGAGCGAATCCACCCTTATTGCTCTGCTGGCAGCAAGGAAAAATAAAATCCTGGAGATGAAGGTTTCTGAGCCAGATGCTGATGAGTCAACTCTGAACTCTCGGCTCATTGCTTACGCATCTGATCAAGTAGGTTCCCGTTCTTATGTATCACCCTATTTGCTTCTGTGTTGGCCCTGCTATATCGGGAGCCAGAGTGCCTGACAAATGTGCACAATGCCACCCGGGTGAGAAGTGCTGCTCATGTGCTACAGCTGGGGAAGCCAGGCCCAGCGCAGGGAAGTGTCTTCTGTATGGTCCCAGGAGCAGCAGTTGGAGCCCCCTTCTCCTAGTTTTGACTCCTGCACTTTAACCACACAACCTTCTTCCTTCCTAGATTTGGCCGACTTGCGCCAGTAGCTGGGTGCCGAGCTCCTGCCACTGTTTCCTTGTAGACTTTTCACTCCAGCACAGAGAACCCAGTTGCGTCAGCAAAGTCCACAACTGTCCTTTCCCCCCAAGTCGAGGAGGAGCCAGTGCAGCCTGCACAGTGCCACCCCTCTGCTCAATAATGTGCTGTGTTAACATCTCTTCTCCCCACAATATACTGTCAGTGGAGGTGACAGAGATGGTTGAGCTGGATCTCCTTTGATATAAGCAAGAGGACAGTCTCCACAAGGGCCCCTGGTCCGCCAGAGCCCAGACTGGCGATTGTTCTAGACATGCTATAAAACCACTTTCTTCTCTCTCCTTCCTAAAGCTACTGCAGATGGAATAGGCTGAAGGGATCCATTCCCAGGCAGTCCCTTTACACTTGCTGCAGGGAAAGAGCATGGGGGAAACCTATTCTGTTTGAGAAAAGTGAACACAGTAATGGTGACTAATTAGAAGATTCAAGAGACCTGACAAACCTAGATAGTAAAAACTATAATTTGGCTTTTGTTCCCTTGAACTATGATGCTGAACTATGTCTCAGGCTTTTGTGGCAGTCACTCTTCTTTAACTAAAGTACAGCCATTAGAAAACTCTCCACATTCGTCTTTTCACTTGTGTTCTTCTAAGGCTCACTCGTCCGTAGAGAAGGCAGGCTTGATTGCTCTCGTGAAGATGAAATTTCTGCCTGTGGATGAACAGTTTTCCCTCAGAGGCAAGACCCTGAGGAGAGCCATTGAAGAGGACAGGAAACAAGGCCTAGTCCCTGTCTTTGTAAGTTTGTTTTCCTGCTCTTGGGTCCTGGCCTCTGGGTGGTGGTGAAAGATGTCGCCACTGTATTAAAGATAAGGAATTAATGTTTGAAATAATCTGAATAATTAACATGCTAGTCTATTCAAATAGTAATATATCCTCCAACTTTGACCAAATGTTTAGCATAATTTGCTTTAAAATGTTGAATAAAAAAGGCTGATTTATTTAAAACTACCTTGACATGTCTGCTTTTCTTCTTCAGGTTTGTGCAACTTTGGGTACCACTGGAGTCTGTGCTTTTGACAGCCTAGCAGAGCTGGGTCCCATTTGTAAGTGTCTGTTATCTTATGAGCAATAAGCATATAGAAATTGTGGGTTTTCTGTGGAGCCAAGAATGAGCAGAAAAAACACCACCACTCAGCTTTTACAGCCTCTTCAAAGGAGTCAATGGGAATTTTTCCTTTGGCTTCTATGATATTTTGTTCAGGTTGTTTGAAAGCAGGGGCAGGCAATGTTTTGACTGGAGTGCTGAAAAAACCAGTGTCTACCTGGTAAGGTGCCAGAGTCCTGGCATGCCAAAAAACCAAAACCTGGGCAGGGGGTACATGGCAGGATGCACTGCATATTAATATAGTTAATAACCATAAATGTTGCCTTTTTTAACAGTAAATACCAGGTTTTCTAAAAATTCTACACCTGGTGACAATAAATAAAACTTCATATAATACCTTTGTGTGCCTTCCAACTGTAAAGTTTCCTGTAGTTCATGCAAACCAAAGGCAGGGCAAACAATGTAAACCAGCAAACAGAAAGCAGAAAATCAGAAAGACTTGAATTATTTGAAGTCCATACAAGTCTGGGTAAGTATTTCCAAGAAGGCAATCACAGAGCAGGAAAACACACAAAAAGTGAACAATGTGAAATGTTGAAATTTAGGAATACAAAGTAGAGAGATCAAAATAAACTGAAGATGAACTGTTTTAAGAAAGTAAAAAACTGAACAATATGAACTGGTTTCAGAGTAAAAAACTGAACAAAAAATGATTTAATGGAGCAAAATAAACTGAATAGCAGAAACTGGTTTGAGAGGGAGCATAAAGTGAATATGAAACTATTTAACAGAGCAAAATAAACTGAATAATATGCAACATTAAACTCTCAGTTTGCAAAGCACAGAAACCAGTACCAGCAGGCTACTGAGCTGCCTGTAGCCCAGAGCCACGTGCTTCCCTAATATATGCAGGGGAGAGGGGCTCCCGATGACTGCGACGGTGCTGAGAGTTTCACAAAACTTCATAAAAGCTCCCAGTGTCGGGGCAGGCACCAGGGGTGGGGTAACGAAAGCACAGGCAGGGACGCAGTCACGTTCTGCTGACCCTGCCCTCAGTGCCTGTGGCTGAATTTGTGAAGCTTTGTGAAACTCAGCACCACCACAGACTTGGGGGCAAGGTCAGAAGAACACAAGCAGCCTCCCTGCGTCCCTGCCTGTGGTCTCCTCACCCTGTCCCCAGTGCCTCCCTCTGCAATGGGAGCTGTGCAGCAACTTAAAAAAATAATTTTTTTTTAAAGGCATTTTCCTCAGCAGACGTCTTGGAGTGCCAAGGAAAATGTCTCCACGTGTCACTAATTGGCACATGTGCTGGGGATTGCCTTATCCCTGTTTTAAAGCAAGTTCCACTCAAAAAGGATGAATCTTGCCCTCAAGCAGTGGTTCCCTGGGTGCCCTTTCCATTCACACACCTTAAACCACATTTAGAAACCCCTGCACACCCATTCTGTGACTGTCTCTTCACAGAACCACTGCGGGACCGTCACAGAATGGGTGTGCAAGGGTTTCTAAATGTGGTTTAAGATGTGTGATGGAAAGGTTATGCTAGATGGGGGGGGGGGGTGTGTGTGTAATTTTTTTTCAAAATAAAAACAAACAAAAAAAACCCCATCACTTATGCATTTGATGGAATTAGGCTTGGTCCCTGCTCAATGTAGTCCACCAGCACCAGAGTTTTGACGGTTGGAAGGACCTTGTTTTGGCTACTAGCTTTGTGTTTAAATGGTATGCAAAATGGTTGTGGATCCTATTCAAACCCAGACTCTGAACAATATGCACCAAGGGCCCGTAGAGGGGTTTCACATTGGGTGGGTGTATTCAAGACCCCAATTCTTTGTCATAGTACCTTTACTCTGACTTTTCCCAGGGCTGTGGGAGATGAATTTTATTCCATTTAAATGCAGAGGACAGGAACTTACACTCAAAAAACAACTGGCTAGGATTAGTGGCTTTGGCAAATGTTCTGCTCTGCAGTACAAAAGGGCCTATTTGGATCCAACTCTCCCAGCGTCTGGGTGTTTTGGAGCCAGAGATTTGGTACTGGATGTCTTGGGATGGACTGGTTGGTCTTGCTTCCAACTCTGCCTCTTGTACCCAAAGGACAATTTAAACCTCTCTCTCCAGAGGGAAAAAGACTAAATGTTAGTCCAGAATGCAACGCAACTGTCTCAATTTCTACAGGTGACACAGAGGGACTCTGGCTTCATATTGACGCTGCATATGCCGGAACTGCATTTCTGTGCCCAGAATTTCGATCATTTTTGGATGGAATTGAATATGCAGACTCGTTTACTTTTAACCCTTCCAAATGGATGATGGTTCATTTTGATTGCACTGGATTCTGGTGAGTAGAGTCACAACACGCGACGAGCAAGCACTCAGTGTACACCATAAAAAATGCCAGGTTTTCATCAGGCATTTTTTTACTAAGTACAATTTGTTCTACTGTTAATAGGGTCAAAGACAAGTACAAATTACAGCAAACCTTCAGTGTTAATCCTGTCTACCTCAGACATGCCAACTCAGGGGCAGCCACTGATTTCATGGTAAGTCACTGTGTAAACTCCTGTCTTACACTTCCTAGAGAACATTTGTAAAGATGCCGCCAAATACTCCTGGAGCTTGTTTAGCACTATGGCAGGAATATCTATAATGATGTGTAAATGCAGTGTGAATTAAACTTTTTTAAAACTTATTAAACTTATAAAACTGCATAGAAACTCTTAAAGATCAGACACAAATTGAAGTAGTTAAATAAAACTTGGCCCTAATCTCCTGTTGTCCTGGAGATTGTTTTGTCTGCATGTATTAGTAAATGGGCCAAATCCATGGGCCAAATCCTCAGGTGACAAAAAGCAGTCCAGCTCCATTGACTTAATTGGAGCTACACTAATTTATACTAGCTGAGAGTCTACCCAGTACCTCTGCCAGAATAAGGTCACTTCCTTGCAATATTTGTGTTGTAGTTGCTGGAGCTTTTACATGTTTGTGTTGTTTATTAGTTTGTCTTACTACAACCTAGCTGAATAATTCTGATACATGAGACAGTTAAAGGGGAATATATATAGAAATGCCTTGTTTTTAAAACAAAATTAATCAGGACTTGGGGTAGAGGTGATATCTTTTATTAGACCAACTAGATTTTTGCAAAACAAATTCTTTAATTGCAAGCTTTTGGGCACAAACACCCTCCATCAGGCATAGGAGAAAAGATTGTAGAAGTTCTCCAGGGTAGAAATAAAATTAAACAGCAACCAAATTAATTCAGTATTCTTTAGTTGCTCCACTGGTGGTGAGCTAAGAAACATATCACTTTGGATCTATCTGACTGAATCTGAACACAATGCAACAAAACAGTATTGTATAGACCAGTGTTTCAGTGATGATCTCACTAAGGTCTTGAGAAAGGCAATTGTTTTCTTTCTTCCTGTGAGTTGTTTTTTCGTTGGACGATATGGCTCCCTCTGGCGGTTAAATGGTGGCCATGCTCTTTCTTGAATTCTTTGATGTAGTTTTCTTTTTATAAGGGATGATATCTGTTTCCCTTTCAGGTGGCTGCCACTGCTTTTTCTAACTCATGTAGTCTCATTTGTCTTGTCTGTTCTCATTGTGCAGCCTCCAATTCAGGAAAAAATGTATATTCAGGACAGAACTTATACATGTAGATGAGGGTGTTATTGTTGTCTTCTCCTGCAATGAACTGAACATTTTTTTTCATGCATTTTCCTGAATTGGGACATTAGCTTAAATTGCTTTCACTAATGGGAAATGGAATAATATACATTACTAATGGGACAAAAAGTCAGAGATGCATCTACTGCACTAAGCATCACAGGGATTCAGCTTAGGAAGCAAAACAAAATTTTTTTAGAATACCTTGGAAAGTATCAGCCCAGAATTCACCTTTAATTGTTATTTACTAAATTAATTCCTGCAAGCAAAACATGTAAACAGGCACCCTAACCTGAGTACAGGGCTGCAGACTCAGGCTTTTGCATTGTGTTAGGACAATTTTGAATTGTTTTTCACTGTGTTGACACACTGTTTTGTTTACAGCACTGGCAGATTCCACTGAGTCGCCGCTTTCGTTCTTTGAAGCTCTGGTTTGTGCTTCGCTCCTTTGGGGTGAAAAAGCTTCAAGCACACGTCAGACACGTATGTGAATTAACATAAAAAGTGCAAGGACATTACTGTTATCTCTCAGCACCTAAGTTAATTAAGTTCATTAGGATGAAAAGGCTGAATAAGAGACCCCCCCCGGAAGTTTGCATGTATCAAAATGCTAACATGTTGTAGAGGAATCAATCCAGCCTCTCATCTTGCATAAGCAGAATTCTTGTTGGGTTCAGTGGCATTTCTGATTGCATGAAGGCATTGGCGCAAACTTTGCTTCTCTTACACAAACACAGAGAAAACTTCAGGAACAAGGTACAGCCTGGCCATGTGGGGGAAAGGAATGCCCTGTGAGTGCTACAGAGCAGTATTATGCAATGTAGTAGGTAGTTTTGGAGTTAGGCTGAGGGTTAGCTGCCTGGTTAATGCATCTATAACCACATATACCCACTTAAACCTTTACTAGGTGCAAATATGTCAGGCCACTGAGTGTAACAGCTATGGTTGCAGTTTGTCTCCTGACAACTCCTGCTCAGAAGTGAAAGGGCAGGTTCCCTAGAGAACACCTGCATAAGGCCCACTGCTTTAGTCTAGTTCAGTGGCCAAAAAGTTGTCTATAAGGGTCTGATCTAAAATCCACTAAAGCCAGAGACTTTCCCCCAATTTCAGTGGCATTTGGATAAGGCAGTATAAGATAGCTGCATTTGCATATATTTAGGGAAATCTTTATAACTATGCAAATCTGAGAATCTTAATGTTTTGGAGTGAGGCTTTTTCTGGGAGGGGAAATTATTTTTATATTCAGTTAATTTTTATATCTTTCCTGTTGCTTTGTAACTGACCAGAAGAAAACACTTAACATGTTCACTTACAGGGCACTGAAATGGCCAAATACTTTGAATCTTTGGTCAAAAGTGATCCCTTCTTTGAAGTCCCTGCCAAGAGGCACCTTGGACTGGTTGTATTTCATTTAAAGGTAAAAAAATTGTTTTGGAATGAATTAACAGTAATCCCATGAAGTCTTCCACCTTGACTGCAATAAATAAAGTTCCTATGAAGGAACAAAATCCTGGCAATTGTTACAGCCTGGTGCAACTCTAAATATAAACTGTAATTGTAATTGGAGACCTCTTCTTATTTTAAAAACAGGGCCCCAACTGGTTGACAGAAAAGCTCTTGAAAGAACTGAATAATTCTGGCAGGCTCTTCCTCATTCCAGCTACCATCCATGACAAGTTCATCATCCGCTTCACTGTAACGTCCCAGTTCACAACCAAGGAGGACGTTCTGCGAGACTGGAACATCATTCAACAAACTGCTGCCCAAATCATTAACCAGCATTACATGCAGCACCCCCTCAACTCTGCTGATGGGGTGAAATCCCCTAATTTACTAAGTAACACCAATCCTCATGCTGTTAATATTACTTCTGAGTTTTCCAAAGATGAAGGAAAATACAAAATACCTTCCAGAAAAATAATCGTGCAGCCTAAAAAGGTAGCAATCAGTCCCACTAAATTTGTGGTCAGTCAGCAGCTGGAAGGCCAGGTGGACTCTCTGGATGACTGTTTTCCAGAAGAAGTCCCAGATGTCTCCAAACATAAGTTGTCCTCTTTCCTATTCAGCTACCTGTCTGTTCAAGATAAGAAAAAGACAGCACGCTCCCTCAGCTGCAACAGTGTGCCCACAACCAGCTTTCGTGAACTCAGCAACCCAAAGGCAGCAACCTCCGAGAAGATCAGCTCTCACGACGAGGATAAAATCTTCTCCAAGCTGCCTGAAGAGGTCATGATGCTCAAAAAAAGTGCCTTCAAAAAACTGATCAAGTTTTACAGCGTCCCTAGCTTTCCCGAGTGCAGCATTCAGTGTGGTATTCACCTGCCTTGCTGTCCTCTGCAAGCAATTGTTTAATGTGCAAAACAAATTGGTCCTTAAGGTCTCCCCAGGTAGAAGAGAACCAAAGGTTGCTTATTCATATGCAATATTATTGTATTCAATATGTAAACAGCATGAGAGATCATTGAGTAAATTCCTGTGCTTGTATTGAAACAAAACACTTGTGTATTTATTGATGGAAAAAAACAAATAAATCAGTTATGCACATTATGTAAAGTTTTTTTCTTCCAGACCATGGTAGAGTTTGCATTAGATCTGAGAATTTTAATCTCTGCCTCATCAATATTAGCTTGTTCAAGGACCAATGCCAGTTTCAGTGCCCACTTATGCCTAGAGAAGTCCTGCAGGCTTCATTGGAAATGCATGAGAAAATGCAATGAATCTGGACTAGTATTTGAATTCTCGTAGTTTGATTTTAACTTAACATCTATGGGGACTGATTCACACCTGTGAGTGCAGGGAGTGCTAATAGCTCCTCCAAACTGCCAGGGACAGGGGTTTACTCATGCCACACTTTCTGAGAGGCTCTGCCAGATTGAAGGATTCAAACAAACCAGATCGGCATGTGTGTTAACTCCTGTTACAGTTCAATAGATGTAATGGTCTCACCTGCCCAGAACAATCTCAAGGCAGATTTTTTCCCATTCCTGGGAAACTAGAACCTGGGCCAGCCCGACCTGGGGAATAAATGTAGCTCAGGCCAAACAGTAGATCCATCTGTGCAACAGTCATCCAATCAAAAACTCCCACTGGGGCAAAATGGCTTGCACAAACAAGTGCAAAATTTGGCCTCTGTTACTTCCCCTTATTTCTCTCATATTATGTGTGATTGTTTTCATTCCTTAGGAGAACCTGAACCAGCCACACAAACTCACTTGCTTATGAGCAATTTGACTTAACAGCCTTCCTTATCCCCACTATAATTCCAGAAAAGGAAAATGTTGCAAATGACTATGGTGATACTTTTTTGCATGATTATTATTTAATACATTAAAAATATGTTTAATTAGAGGGCTCCTCTGCTAGAATAGAGAAAGACCAGTGTAAGATTCTAACCTAGATTTCCCTGGGATTCTGAGAGCAGCTGAGGCCATCTTAGCCCTGCTCTACACAGGTTTTCCTATGGTTTTGGTTATAGATATGACTTTTTTTTTTACTGCTGAAGTTACACCAGTACAACCCTTTGTGTGGCTGCAGTTTTATTTGTGTAAAAGGTGCTTTACATTGGGATACCTTATTCCATTACCTGCACTTAAACACACTCTGTCGGTATCACCAGGTTTTGAAAGTGGGTGGGAGAGGGCTATACTGTCTTAAATACGATTTTAAATACACTGCTTTTGGTGTAGTTGAAGTAGCACTAGTTGTGTATGCACACAGCCCAGGTGTTGCTTCTTTCCTCCCTTCTTATTTTCAAAACAGGGCCCCAACTGGTTGACAGAAAATCTCTTGAAAGGATTGAGTAACTCTGGCAGGCTGAAGTCAGTGGAAATTGTGTGCAGATGATGGGCAGCATAGGAGATTAACTGCTCAGAAATCTGAACGGTTCTGAGTGCTGATATCTCTGGGCAGAGTAATGATCTATGAAGACTCAGTGTATTGGCAAAGGGCACAAAAAGGAGGGTACAGATGCAGTGCTCTTGGGGTAGAGCTTCAAAGACTGGGTGGTATTTGGGACTGGGTGGTGTTTGAACATACATTCCTGAACAACTAATACAGCATTACAGTTTATTATTTATATAGCACCACAGAAGCCAGAAGACATAGAAGACAATAGGTCCCTGCTCCAGAAGAGATTACAAATTATATATATAACATAGTGAATCACCACAGAAACACAACAAGAATGTGATCTGGCTAATGAGCTAGACTATATGTCTTACTAATTCTGAATTCTCCTTCCTCTGATTCTATTTTGGAGGCTAATTCAGGAAAGAATTTGATCATGTACTTAAATGCTTTCCTAAATCATAGCATGGGAGAATAAGGTTAGACATAAGAACAGGAACAGATGGCATAAAAATAGAGGTTGATGGTGGAAGGTGAGCTGAAAGGAGTGAAGTAGGAAATGGAATGATAGTGCACAAGGTAAGAGGCTGCGTGGACAGCTTGAGAAAGGGCGGAAGGGAACAATAAGACAAAAGGAGTGGATGATGTTTGGGGCAAGGGAGGAGGAGCCAGAATTGTTCTGTCAGACAGCAATGGTCTGCATCACAGTCGTTCACAGGCAGTTTGCAGAGCAAAGGAATAAAGAAAAATATTTTTCACATTCTGTAATCAGTAAAAGTCGGATTCAAGCATGATTTCAAATACAAACCTACTGTAACCTTCATCAATACATAAAAATGGATTTCTAGACTTTCTGAAGTTAGGATATATTTTAAAAACTGAATATTACAAAAGATTCATTTTAGACACTCACAGTCTTATACTGTGGTTTTGTATAGAGTCATAAATGGCAGGTGTCATCAGCACATACATCTTTTCTTTGTCATCTAGGAAATATAGGACATCTTTGACAACTGCTGGGTTGAAGCCCTGCTCCACTAACTGCACTTTACGGTACTTAAAAGTTCCTGTGACCTCGATGATGTCCTTTATAAAAACAAAAACAAAAAAAAATTGATAAGGGGACAATATTGACTCTGGGGACTGTTTTTCAAGATGGAATAATCAAACCATTTAGAAGAAAGGAGTCTTGTATTTTCTTCAAGGGCAATACTGAAATACAAATGTAATTCATGTTTAGTATAGCAAATATGTTTAATATGTTCTGAGATCTGGAAGTCAGGTATGTCATGCAGCTCTATCGCATTATATCAGGAATAGGAGTCAAAGACATGTTAACAAAAAATGTCTACATAGCTGAATTCACCCTGAACTGTTTCTGCAGGTTTCAGCATGTGGAGTCATTTCTGGAGCCTGGATATGCTTGAGGTCACAGCAGCAGAGTGCCATGTTAGGCCACCTACATTATCCTATTTAACTGGGGCTCAGATACTCTACTGATCACTCTCATTCTCATTCTCATTTCAATGTAAGCTAAAGTGTCAGCTGCTTTAGTCCTGATCCAGCAAAATCTTTTGCTGGACAAAGGGCTTGTGTTGTCTATTAAATAAATGGTGTAGCAGACTATATAGCTTCTTTCAGGTCACAGAGGGGAGGTGCTTGACCAATGTAGGCAAAATTGCTTCCAAGAACAAGAGAAAACAGGAAGACAGGCTCTTAGCACAGCCTCGGCTACAGGAAAGCTAGATCTAAGGGGAGTTCCTTAAGGAGCCCTGGTGCTATATACCTCGGTCAGAGTTCAAACTGGGTCAGGTGAAAAAGGGAAGGATCACTCTCAGGAGACATGCGATTCTCTGTAAGAGGCTGTATGGTGCCGTACTTCAGATGGTGTACACTGTTCAGTTAATAAATTTTGTGTGGGTAGTATCCCCAAAGTCTGAAGATGAATCAAGCGGTTTGGGATGTTAACATCTCTGTATATACTCTTCTATTAAGCCATCCCAGTAAATATATGATCTTCCTCAGGAAAAAAAAAACGCAATAGATACAGAGCTAATACTAGAGTCAAATCAAGTTACCTTTATAATACTTTCTTCAGTAAGACAAATATTTTTCACCATGAGCAATAAGGAAAAAAGACTTTGATTTTATTTATTAATACATTCAAATTTAGGACCCTATTCTGTCAGTGGTTCCATGTGGATGGATCCATATTCTAAATTTGCAGAATAGTGGCCTTAACTGGAAACATAGCTCCCTTCACTGTGCTAAATTAATGAAACAGAGGGTCCATGTATTTCCCTTGATTTATTAGGGATGTTAAAACGTATCAAGTATCCTATATTCTTATGTGCTCATATCATTTCTTCCTCCAGGCAGAATGGAAACATCATGAGTCCAGTTCTCCTCCCATAATGATGTACAGCAAGCATGAGAAGAAGGAAGCCTTTTGAAAATTGCCAATATAATTATAAGCATCTGAAGTCCTCATGGAAACAAGGGAGAAGAGGATGCAGGCAATGACGCAGAAAGGCTGCCTTACCTGAATCCTGATAAAGCGAGGTCTTGCATAAGTTGGCAGGTAGTCTTGAACATGTCTGTACATCTTTTCCCCATTGAATTCACAGCCTTCCATTAGTCGAATGGATGCCATTCCTATTCTGCCTTCATGACCTAGAGGAACAATTAGAGGCAATAACTCGGGATGACATCAACATTTCCACTGTATAAATGTCAGTGTTTTTGTTTTTGAGCAAGTGAATTATGTAAAGTAAGTTTTTAAATTATGGGAATTGTCTATTCATGGAATTGGTAAAATCTTCCCTTTGCAGGGTCCCCTTTGCTATTCAACCTCTCACACTAACACTCAGGTTAAAGAAATGTAGTTAACCATGTTGGTTGGAAGTTAGGCAAAAGGGCAGGGCAGAATGGCAACTTGTAGACTAACTTGTTCAGAAAGGCATGAGCTTTCATAAGCTACAGTTTAGCATTGGATGAACTTGGCTGTAGTCTATGAAAGATCACTCTGAATTAGTTCATTTATGAGGTGCCACACTGACCTGACTTCTACTTGGATTAAAGTGCATTAAATCAGTCTAAGATTTACACGGGCATGGACACTAGATGGTATGGAGAGCTTCAAGTGGGTTTAATGCATAGGAGCTAATTGTTTCTCTTATTTTTGGAAATGTGAAGTCTACTGCAGATGGCTGAGGCGGGGTGGAAAGAGCAACTAGATAAATAATAGGCTGGAGTGTAGTTTCAGTACTTTTGGTACAAATACTTCTAGTTGGAAAAAAGTTGATGGTAATGTGGGAATGTAACAGATTCTCTAGTGTTACATCCACATACTGATTTGAGATGCTGGTAACAATGATGCAATAACTACACCCTTCTCTCTCTCAAAAAGGGAGTTTCATATCCATTTATCTGACCCTATCTGAGGCTTCTTGCCTCTAATCCTCTAGGATCCTCCAGCATGATGTCCAAAAGTTATTTGAGCGACCTAATACTTGGTAAATACTCATCCAACTGGGTGAGGGAAGGAAAGGAAGAAAATACCTTCACTGGAGCAAAAATCAGGCCTGAGGCTAAGCAAATTCCATGTAGGCCATTTGTGACTGTGACTGAATTTTCAAAAAGGGTATTATAGAATTAATAATAATGTGTAATAGCACAGGAGACCTACCTGTACCTGACTGATCCTGGCCATAACTTGGAAAGGTCCTGACACACCTGTAACTCCCCAGATGTTGCCTTATTCCAAATAGGGATTTACACTAAATCCATTCAGAGCACACCTGCTTCATTCTGGATATCAGCCTGTATCTTCTCACACCTGAATATTTTTCTCTGTTCTGATTTTAGTAGGTATTCAGATTTTTTCAAGAGAGAGAGAACTCAATTTTCATTAAGCCATCAAAAGAAGGAGCCAAATTTTCAGAAAAGTTCATCACATCAAATACCAAACTTCTTGGAAAATGTGTTTTTAAATAACACAGCAGTTACTGTTAGGTGACAAGCATTTTGTTAATTTTGTTTTCTATTTTGTTGCTTAAGTGAAAGTGAGAACCTCTGACCTTTTGAAAGTCTGGCTCAATGCCTTTAAGCACTTTAAGGTCTAAATACCGTCTGTATTGTTTAAAAAGGAACTTAGGGCAGAGGTCTAATGCTGCAACAATGTAACTGTCTGGAGTTAAGTCAAAGTCACCAAGATATATATGGCTGCTAATTTGTTAACAATTCACTGAGTTAAAATTCAAATAAGCCAATCTAAAGCAGTATGCTATCATAAACATGGTAAGTAGCAAAGTGTTTTACAATTATACAAGCTGCTGATATAGCAGATTAATCCACAAATCTTCCAAGTTAGAGAGACAATGCAGCCATACTCAAGCTAGCTCAAGTGGTAGAAGCAGTCCAGCTAGGGCAGCAGGAAAGTCCATGCAAACTAATTTACTCTGCTGGAAAACTCATAAATTGTCCTATGTAGAACTCTGTACTTCTGGTGTCTAAACTACTTGGATGATCTCTATCCTACAGCACAAACGTACGCCAACCAGCATGGCATCTACTGGCTGTCAACAAGAAATACTGTACTACGGTGCAGTTCTCCAAACCCTCTGGATTCTTCTTTCTCTAAACTCATCCACATGGTGTAACAACAAAGAGGAATTAAATCCACGTGGCTCATCCTCCATCTCTATCCAGAAGCACTGGTATTTGCATTTGTTAACTCTCTGTGGGGGGGTTTTGAGCAGTTCATTTTGGGGATGGAGTAAGGTTGGGTGGGCTGGCCAGGGGTGGACAAAAGATGACAAAAGCCAGTCTTCCAAGAACACAAATGTCCTGGGAAGACCAGATCTCACTATACTAAATTCCCACTAATGCTCTTCCACATACTTAAATTATGTGGTTTTTCTGCAGTGACTGTATTTTATTTCCTAAAATATAATTAAATGAAAAAGCTGAAAACAGAGTTACTATCCCTTACAAAAGGTTTTGCAGTCAGAGGTCATGTCAGTGCATTACAAAGGTTTGTGCACATGGGCAGTCACCAGGTAACAAGGAAAAGTGAATATAAAGTCGAGGCAAAACTAGGGAAGATATAAGAGTCTGAGAGCAACCACCACATAGTTTATCTTTAGTCACCATCATCAGATTATTTATTTCTCCTGTTTCAAACTCTTAGCTCAAAAATACCACCTGGCATTCCAATTTGTTTACTCAACTTATTCAGAAAGCCTGGTTCAGGGCGTTACAGTTTTGTACCTTGAAGTGCTGGATTAGTTAGATCTGCTCTGAGATTGTCTATTTTCATATGCAATTAACACCAGGTGCATTGCTAGAGTGAAATATAATTATTTGCACCACATAAAACAACAAAAGTTTGTGCGCGAAGAAAACAAATTGTACAATGGCATAGTAAGAAAAGAACTGTTCTGAACTATATGATTGTTTTCTTGCAAGGCCATTTGGTAATTGGGTATAATCACCTCTTCTACCTGGTTTTACAAGTCCAGTGGGAGTTAAGCTATTCTTCCCTTGTCTCCGACAACGTAATCTGAGAAGCGGATAAGGAACTCTGCACCATTCACATGGTTACCTTGCTTGTGAAATCTCTCCCATGGCAATTGTGTGTGTATCTCTGCTTGAAAGGCTGGTAAAAACAAAGTCTATTTAAAGTGAGAAACCCTAGTTTTGTTTTAGATAATAAAGGAAGGTAAAGGATTTTTTTTTTTTTTAAAGCTGGGTAATTATCCTTTTTTCATCTACGACTTTCTCAAGCTATCTGCATTTTTAAAGTTTTTTTTTAACCATAGACTCCTCAGGAATATTAATCTGGGTCTGCCCTTATTTTGCTAGAGGAACTACTGGATGTGTCAGAAAATGTGTAATGTGAATTTTCATGTTACATAAATGGGTGGAGCTTCACAAAAGGCAAAAATGGGCCCAAGCTAGAAGTATTCTTTCTTTTGTTAGGAGTGGAAAAACTCTCTTCTCCGGCTCCTCCACGCCCAGGGAGTGCCATGTGCTGCATGTTCCAAGTAGTGAGCGTTAGCACAGAACTGCTTCTGAACTGGCTGCTTGTTTGCTTTAGTGTCCCCCAAATCCCCAGTGGTTTTTGTGCATGAGTGGCTGATGCGATGGTGGTCCATCTTCAACCCCTTTGCATTGGCCTTTTGGGAGTTGTGTGAGAATTTGTAAGTGATACTGCTTAGCCTACGATGCTATTGGAAAAGTTCACATAGTCTACGAAAACTGGATGTTTATAAGCCATTGGAAGCGGGTCAGCATTATCACCTGTGCTCTCTATAGCATTAAGCACAAAGAGCCAGGTTCTCAGAACAGCCAGCCCCACAATGGTTACTCAGGACTCTCTGTAGCACAGTGGGAGTATTTTGGTGGTCATCAGGGATGTGCCACAGGGAGAAGGGGCCAAGCCAGAGTGCGCTGCATGCCAATGAACTTGACCACTGGAATTATTTGTTGGGATTTGTTCTCCACTGGAATTAATAAGGGCAACCTTGGAGTGGCTCTAACTCGCCCAGATGGACAGGCAGACTGCAAGACAGGAAGTGGTATAAAGCTACTAATGCCACCTCAGAGTTCACCTAGTTATACACCCCAATAGGAAAACTGACATTGGACTGGTTCCCAGGTGTGCCAGTGTATATTAGGCCTGTGCAAAGCGGCTTGTATTTGCTTTGGATTCAGCTGATTCAGGGAACAGCGATTTAATTTAGTGATTTGAATCACTGACCTGAATCAATTCAGCCAATTCAGAGATTCGGCTGCTGCCGAATCAGCCAAGTCTCCAAATCAGACAGGCCCCATCCCCCGCCCGCTCCCCCAGCCCCAGCAATGGCTGCCCCACTCAGCCCCAGCTCCTGGTACTTTGAAAAAAAAACAGCCCCGACTTACTGGGTGCTGCCCAGCAGGGGGGTGATCTCTGCTGCCCCCCACTGCCCTACGCTGCATGGTGGGCTCTGCCATGAGCCCCCCACTCTCCCAGCACCCCCCCCAGCTCTGGCCCTTTAAGAAAAAAACAAAACAAAACCCCAAACTCACCAGTTCCTGGCTGGCAGGGGGCAATCCCCACTGCCCTGCACTGCATGGGGGGGCTCTGCACAAGCCCCAAGGCTGCTGCAGGAGCTGGTGAGTTCGGGGTTTGTTTGCTGTTTTTTTTTCTTAAAGGGCCAGAGCTGGGGCAGGAGGGGGAAACAATGGGAGGATGGGTGAGGGGGCTGGGGTGCTAAGGGCAGAGCCCCACACACAGCATGGAGCAGTGAGGATTGCCCATCTGCCTGGCAGCACCCAGTGAGAGGGGGCTTTTTCTTAAAGCATCAGGAGGTGGGGCAGCCATGGTCCCCCCATGGTCCCCTCCCCCGCCCCCTCCTTACCAGCTCAGGGTCTGCTTCAGCTCCCTGCTGCAGCCACTGGGCACTGCCCAAATCACCAAAGCTCTCCAAATCTTTTCCAAATAGATTCGGAGAGCTTCAAATTGATTTGGACCTTTTAATTGGTCCCGATTCAATTCGGATTTGGAGATTTGGCCACAGAATCGAGCCGAATCTCCTCCAAATCAAATCAGCACCCGAAGCTTTGCACAGCCCCAATGTAAGTAAAGAAGTGCCGTGATAATCATCAAAGAGGCTTGAACAGAAATTCTGAAGAGCCCCGTGTCAGAACTTATGGTAATTTGGCTCATTATAGACAGGTGAGAGGAGAGAACCCAGTTTCCTAAACTACTGTCTTATACATTTTCCCAGAAATCTCCTTTCACTGTTTTCTTTGTCTCAGTAATTGCAGATCAGGTTGTTATATTCTAGTGTGGTTTTTTATTCTCAAATCCTCTCCTGTATTCCTGTCAACTGACTCTGCTAAATGTAAGACTATAAAGAAAGCTTTTACTAAGGCTTCTCCACTAATGGACATTATATACACATGAATGATTGGATTTACCAAATATAATATATGAAAAATAGAAAAGTTGACAGAGATTGTTTTTGTTTTTACAGATCATATGGATGTAATGAAATTATGTTAACTATGTAAATAGATCTTGTATTACCCAGACTGTCAGGTGTTTCATTTATACCTGGTATAGGCACTCCATATACATTAACTTCTTGGACAAAGTCAACCAATCCTAAAATATCTGCAACTTCAGTAGTAGCTACATTTTCTCCTTTCCATCTGGGAAACAAAAACAGTATGAAAAATTCATCATTTCTATATAAATTACTCAAATCTGATGAACAGTGTTTGTTATAATGGTTTCTGTCATTGCACATTCAAGCTGGGATTAAGGAATACATTCCCACTGAGACAAGGATTTAAGAGGAGAGGAAAATATGAAGCAAAACATCATGGTACACTCCATATTACTTAAGTCTGACCAGAACTGGAACACATCCAGCTCGCAAGCATTTAAAAGGGCTTTTAAACTAATAAAAAGGCACAATTTAACTTTTTTCCCATCTTTGATAAAAAAGACCCTTTAATTTCCATTTTAAAAATAAAGAAGTGAATTTAATTAATATGAAACTTAAAAGAAAGCATGGGCATGTCCATTCACCATCCTAAATTTAATTTGCTATAGGCAACATGTGGACTAGTATATGCTACTTGAGCAAAATAAACAAAAATAGGAAATTTGTGACATAGGCCCCTTGTGACTTCCACATTGCTTTCATGTAAGAGATGCTGTGCAAGGGATTACAAGGAACTGAGAATGAATTTACATGATCTTCAGTCTTAAGCAAACTAACCGGAATGTGTCTCCAACCCGGTCGTGGAAATAGATGAAATTGTCTCGGTCAATCACTAAGAGGTCACCACTGTTGAAATATAAATCTCCTTTCCGGAAGACATCTCTTAGCTTCTTCTTCTCTGTCTGGCTCTTTGCTCCTGCATAGCCAGTAAATGGAGCAAACTGTGAGATTTTGCAGATCAAGAGCCCTGGTTCACCTAGGAAGGAGAAAAAACACATACATCTGTTGTGTTTGCAAAGCACCATGTAAACTGATGGCACTTAAAAATATCTGTTATCATATATGAGACTAGTGGTGTTTATAGCATCTGCAGAATCATTTTAGTTTTCTTCTATAATCATCTTTCCTTAAAATTATCAGTACAAAAAATTATAATGCTAGCAATCTATGCGTAGAAGGACAGGAGCACAGACATCAGCCTGGCATTTTTGAAAATGTAAGATGAAATCTTTAAAGTCACTTAAGAGTCTCATATCCAAAGTTCTTTAAAAATAGTGGAGACTGGGCACCCAGATTCCCTGAGCAAATTGCAGCACTAGTCCTTGCATGAGCTCTAAGGCAGGCCATATGCTCAGCTTTCCCCTATAAGATGGCTATTTCTATTCTGTTCTGCATGGTTTGAGCTTGCTCCTCTCTCAGCTACCCCCAAGGCAGCAAAAGGAATTGCCTTGGTATGGAGAGTAAGTGCACCCAGGCTCTGACCTGCTTACTCTGAATGCAGAGCATATACACACAGGGTGGGGTGCGAGTGTGCATGTGTGTTCACAGCTCCTTCATCCTCTAAACCAGAAGCAGCTGCTGTTACGTGTTATCAGTAAGCAAGAGGGGTCAGCAGAAGGTAGGGATGGTGCAGGTTGGTGCCTGTATCTGAATTTCACCTGGCATTTGCCCATGTTGAGTAGGCAAACAGGGCCCCTACGGATGCCATGTGCTGGAGTAAATTTTATTCAGACTGCATAGAAAATACATTTCAGATGCAGCCTGCCATCCACTTTAGGATTCTGGGTACAACTTACATGGGCTCCATTCCTACATGACAGATTCCATCAAGCATCTGGTAATCATTCGTGGCCAAATACTAGAAATAGTCCCCACAACTAAAACCCCAGATTTGCCAGGCTTAAACACAGAATTAAGAATATTGGCTAGACATGCCCTGCCCTCTCCTCAGCAGCAGTACATGATCTAGGGTTATTAATGAAGGGAGTGGACTCCAGGTGCAGATCCTCTGTTACTACATAAATGCCTATTTGCCCACTGACCTCAGTGGAATGTGTCCACTGTGGGGGTACATCACATATGCTTGTGATGTGCCCCCATAC